TGGCAGGAGGGCTTTGTCATCAACCTTCCCCTGGTCTAGAAGCTTCTCAGTGCAGGGACCCTGGGTTCAAAGAATGTGCTATGCTCCCTGTGCTTCTTTCTTGGTGGCATGAGGTCCCATCTCTCTGCTTGCTTCTCTCTCCTTTTATCTCTTGTAAGATAAAAAATGATAGAGGCCATACCCCAGGGAAACTCCCCTTACATCAAATCAGGGCTATGATCTGAGTAAGGGTGTTGCATCACACCTTAATCCTTTTAAATATAACCTAATTTTGCCTCATTAACCACAGGCAGAGATCAGGATTTGCAACACACAGGAAAATTACATCAGATCACAAAATGGTGGACAACCGTACAATACTGGGAATCATGGCCTAGCCAAGTGGATACACATTTTGAGGGGACACAATTTAATCCATAACATACGGTAATACTGAAAAATAAGAAATTAAAAAATGAGGAGGAAGGGCTGGGGATGAAGTGCTTCTTTACACAAGAATGCCAGTAATAAGTGTAGAATGAATGACAGGATTAGAAAATTGTTATCTTGTAACTACCAATATAATAATTGATTCTGTGAAGGATTATCAATAGATGCTAAAACCATTGGGAAAAAGGATGTGGGAACAGAATAGCCACACAACTTCGCTTATTAATTACAGAAGGGAGAAAGGTCCTTTACAGGAGAGAAATCTGGCAGACTCTACCTGAATGAAGTGCTCAAGTGTAGCATTACCAACAATGGAACAAACTGGCATTATGCGCCTCCCAACGCAATGAGAAGTAAAAAACATTCCTTACGTATTAGGACATGTTATCAGAAGGCACCAGTCCCTGCAGAAGGACGTCAAGCCTGGTAAAGTAGAGGGTCAGCAAAAAAGAGGAAGACCCTTAATGAGCTGGATTGACACAGTGGCTGCAACAATGGGCTCAAACATAGCAACGACGGTGAGAATGGCGCAGGACCAGGCAGGGTTTCGTTCTGTTGTGCGTCGGGTCGCTATGAGTCAGAGCCAATTCGGTGGCACTTAACAACAACATGTATTGCATTTGCTAGGAATAATCAGACAATTCCAGATTATTGGACATTCTAGCAGACAACTAGCCTGGGTCCTTCAAAAATACCAATGTCATGAGAGACAGAAGGAAAAAAAAAAAGGCAAGGGGGATTGCGGTGAATGCTCTCTATTAAAGATGCCTAAGAGACAAGAAAAGGGGCCCTGATGGCACAGTGGTTAAGCGCTCGACTGCTAATCAAATGGTTGGCGGTTTGAACCCACCAGCCACTCCAAGGGAGAACATTGTGGCAGTCTGCTTTTATAAAAATTAACCCGCTGCCGTCAAGTGGATTCTGACTCATAACAACCCTATAGGACAGAGTGGAACGGCCCCATAGGGTTTCCAAAGCTGTAATCTTTACGGAAGCAGACTGCTACATCTTTCTCCTTCAGAGTGGCTGACGGGTTCAAACCACCAACCTCTCGGTTAACAGCCGAGCATTTAACCACTGTGCCACCAGGGCTCCTTTCAGTAAAGATTACAGCCTTGGAAACCCTATGGGGCAGTTCTACCCTGTCCTATAGGGTCACTATGAGTCCGAATCCACACGACGGCAATGGATGGATTTGAACACTTCAGGCCTGTGATACAAAATTCAGTAGACCAAAGCATGCTTATTTAATAAGTCAATTTTCTCTTGATGACGTTTCAATGGGAAATTCAATCAACACTGATGACTTAAGCCAATCATTGGGCTGATTACATAACAGTAAGTTTCTCCGGTTCTGTACAAATAGAGGCATTTCAGCTCAAGGCAGTCTTAAGAGCCAAGGCAGTCCTGAAGACTCAAGAACTTCGAAGACAAGACAGGAGGGAGGTGAGTTATGGGCGTGGGTCTCTAAGGGTATTTAGGAATTAGGGTGGGGAGAGGTTGGTTTATAGTTACAATGCATTAGCTCTGAGGCCTTCTGAAAGCATGGATCTCTCTCGCACCCGAAAAGTCTCATCTGTGAAATGGGTACAATGTTAACATACAGTGTGGTTTATACTTTAAACCAGGGTTGCTCAACCTTGACACTATTGACATTTTTGGCTGGAAAACTCTTTGTGAAGGAACCCTGATGGCGAAGTGCTTAAGCACTCAGCTGCTAACTGAAAGGTCTGCAGTTCGAGCTCACCAGCCAATCCACAGGAGAAAGATGTGGCAGTCGGCTTCCATAAAGATTACAGCCTTGGAAACCCTGTGGGGCAGTTCTACTCTGTCCTATACGGTCACAAGGAGTTGGAACCGACTCGACAGCACCCAACAGCAACAACAACTCAGATGGCTAGAAGGAAAGCAGGGCGTGATTCTTCTCATGTCCATCCACCTGGGAGTAAAATGGACTGCCGGAGAATTTCATAGTTTGTGCTTTTCAAAGTTAGCTTTAGGACCGCATGAAAACTTTTTTTAAAAAAATTCCACTTCCTGAAGATTTAAAAGAGGCTCGGATTTTAAATCCATTTTCCGTGATGAGATTAAGACTAGGTCAATCCACAGAGATAGAAAGCAGATTAGTGCTTTCCATCATGGGCTGTAGCCAGGGAGGGGAAGTGGAGAGGGACTGCTTAATGAGTAGTTATTGTGTGCCATCTAGTCAATTCCAACTCATGAAGAACCCATGGGACAGAGTAGAACTGCTCCATAGTGTTTCCTAAAGACAGTACAGCCTTAGAAACGCTATAGAGCAGTTCTACTCTGTCTTACGGGATCACTTTGAACGGATTCAATGGCAACGGGATTGTTTTGTTGTTGCTGTTCCGAGAATCTTTCTAGAAGAAGATGGCCAAGTCTTTCTCCCACAGAGTTGCTGGGTGGGTTTGAACCCTCAGCCTTTTGGCTATCAGCTGAGTGCTTAACCCTTGTGCCACCAGGGCTCCTTGCTTAATGCATAGGCAGTTCCTTCCAGAGTGATGGAAATGTTCCAGAACTAGATATGGCAATGATTGTACAAAATTGTGAATGTACTGAACGCTGCTGAACCATATGCTTGAAAAGAGTTAAAACTGTAAATTTTATGTTATGTGGGTTTGACCACTATAAAAAAAATAATTGGTTGAGGAGCTTAATTCTCTCAGTATTCTTTTGTGGCCTCCCTTCCTTGGAGCAAAAGAATATCCTGGGATCAGTAAGGAAAAGAACCAAAAACCAAACCCATTGCCATCGAATTGATTTCGACTCACAGTGACCATACAGGACAGAGTAAAACTGCCCCATAGGGTTTCCCAGGCTGTAAATCTTCACAGAAGCAGACTGCCACATCTTTCTCCCACGGAGCGGCTGGTGGGTTCGAACCGTCGACCTTTCGGTTAGCAGTTCAGCAAGTAACCACTGTGCCGCCAGAGCTGGGAAAAATTCTTAGGTTAATATTTCCTAAGGTTACTACACCCCATGGGGTTCTCACATTGCAAATACACTTCTGTATCTTTCTGCATAATTGTATCTAACATAGCTTTGACTAGTATCTTGCTCTGCTGGGGAGAGATAACTGACATTTGTCCTTTTTTTTGTGGATAAATTTTTATTTTAGGTGTTATCATGGTGATCTGTTTCGTATCGGTCACTTTAGTTTTCTCCCTAACAGTTCCGATTAAAGATGTTAAAAAGAGTTCGGAAAAAGTGATTTTCAACATATAACTTAACATTGTTTAATGAAATTTTTCAAAGAATCAGAGAATAGTGCAATGTGACATTTATTCTTAAAACAAATTTAGGAGCTTCACATACATTGGTAGAGGGTCAGCGATAAAGAGGGAGACCCTCAACGACACGGACTGACACCGGAGCTGCAACAATGAGTTCAAACATAGCAACAATCATGAGGATGACAAAGGACCAGGCAGTGTTCTGTTCTATTTCGAGTCCCTAATGAGTCGGAGCCAACTCGTGGGGACCTAACAACAGCAACATGTACATTGTATTTAATTTACCTTAAGAACAACGTTGCCTCAGTCCGCAGAAGGGAAAATTGGTCCTTCCTCGGCACATTCAGAAGTCAGAGTCTAGAGGGTCATTCGGCTACTTAAAATAGTTGTTCTTGCCCTCAAGTTGTTTCTGACTCATGGCGACTGTATGGTTAAGGTCGCGTGTCAGCTTGTTCAGTCCATGGTTCTCAGTGGTTTGGCAGTTGTATGATGTTGTAATCACTCCCATGATGAGATCTGATATTATGGGATCACCTCCATGATGGGATCTTCTGTGAGCAGCCAATCCGTTGAAAGGGAGTTTCCTTGGGGGTGTGGCCTGCCTCGCATATAAGTGGACATTCTGGCAAGGCTCATTGGCTTTTGCTCACTCTGGATCCTGCAGCTGACTCCTGTTTGTCTGACCTATGGTTCTTGGGACTTGAGCTAACAGCTTACCTGCAGTCTTGCCTGCCGATCCTGGGATTCCTGGATCTTCGATCTTCGCAGCCTGTGAATAAGAGTCCTGCTCTCTGACCTGCCAATCTTGGGTTTACCAGCCCCTGCAGCGACGTAAATCAGGGGAAGCCTCTATCCTGACCCACGGACTTGGAACGCTCCAGCCTCTACAACTGTGTAAGCCATTTCTTTGATATAAACCTTTCCCTCTCCCTCTCTCTCTCTCTCTCTCTCTCTCTATATATATATATATATATATGTGTGTGTGTGTGTGTGCTTTACTGGTTTTGCTTCTCTAGAGAACCCAGTATGAGACAGTGACCTTGTGTGTAACAGAACAGCCTGGATTAATTTCCACTGTAATAAGTACAGTACCAGTGAAGAATTATATCTCATATTGGGCTGAGGAATTCAGAGGGGAGAAGAGAGAGAAGAAAGGTCAAACTAATCTGGATCACCCTTTTTTTACTTCCAGACTTCTGAACCCAAGCTTCGAACTTATTACTGAAGAAAACCAAAGTAGACCCCTTCAGATAGGTCTCAGTTAATTACTGGCTTCTAGGAGAGCTCACTCAGTCACTGGAAAATTCCCCACTAAATATGGCTGTCGACTTGACATCGTCATGGCGCCATGGAAAACCTGGTGACAACCGTGGATCAGAGCCTTCACAGTTTGTCTCTTCCCAAGAAACTAATCTTGGAGAGAAAGACTTCGACCCCGAGACGTGGCATGTGAACTTCAGAGCATTTACCTGCTCGGAGGAGGCCGACCCCATCAGAGATCTGAAGAGGCTTTATGAGCTCTGCCATCTCTGGCTGAGGCCAGACCTTCACACCAAGGAGCAGATTCTGGACAAGCTGGTGTTAGAGCAGTTCATGATCTCCATGCCTCTGGACCTCCAGGTCTTAGTCAAGGAAAGTGGAGTAGAGAATTGCAAAGACCTGGAGGAGATGCTGAGAAATAACAGGAGACCCAAGACATGGGTGAGTAGAACCTTCATGACTGGTATGGGAATTGAAACACTGGGCTGGGGGCTGCAAGGAGGAGTTGTGCTAGGAAAGACCAAACTGAAAAACCAAATGTGTTGCCGCCGAGTCGATTCCAACTCATAGTGGCCCTAGAGGATAGAGTAGAACTGCCCCATAGGATTTCCAAGGCTGTTAATCTTTACGGAAGCAGACTGCCACATCTTTCTTCCATGGAGCGGCTGGTGGATTTGACCCTCTGACCTTTCAATTAACAGCCAAGTGCTTAACCACTGGGCAACCAGCACTTGTTACTAGAAAGGACGTGGGGGATTTATTCCAGGTCAGTGGTTTTAAATCAGGCGATTTTGACCCCAGGGGACATTGGGCAATGTTTGGAGACACAACTAGTTGTGACATGGAGAGGGGGTGGTGCTATGTACATCTAGTGGATAGAGGCCAGTGATGTTACTCAACAATCTACAATGCACCGAACAGCGCCCACCACAAAGATTTGTCCAGCCCAAAATGTCAATAGTGATAAGGTTGAGAAACCCTAGTCTAGAAGATAAATGGGAAGGGGAAATACGAAAACCCACCTGATGTTGCATGAGACCAAAATCAAAGACAAGAATGGGTAAAATACTGCAGCTAATAAATGAGGCTAATGAGGAAGTAAACTGAATTTAAGGCGGCTCCAAAAGTCCTAACCAGGGGAAAGTAAATGATTGGTTGTTGTTAGTTGCCATCAAGTCAATTCTGACTCATGGCGACCCTGTGTGTTACATAGTAGAACTGCTCCATAGGGTTTTCTTGATAGTAATCTTTATAAAAGCAGATTTCCAAGCCTGTTTCCATGGTACCACTGAGTGGGTTCGAACTGCCAACCTTTCCAATAACCAAATTGTTTGCACCACCCAGGGACCTTTAGTTGGTATCAGAGATCAAATGGCAAATCTAGAGTAGAGTTTCTCACAGGAAGCTCCGTAAGTCCTAGCACAAAATGAGATACCATTAATAAATTGATTTAGATTTACCAAAAATATTCCAATAAAAGGATCCTGGTGGTGAAGTGGTTAAAGTGCTTGGCTGCTAACCGAAAGGTTGGCAGTTCAAAAATCACCATCCGCTCCTCGCGATAAAGATGTGGCAGTCTGCTTCTGTAAAGATTACAACCTAAGAAACCCCATGGGATAGTTCTGTTCTGTCCTATAGGGTCTCTATGAGTTAGAATTGACTCAACAGCAATGGGTCGAGTCACTGGTATTCCTATATTTTCCTTTTGGGATCGGAGACAAATTTATTCCATTAATCACCAGATTTATGTAGCAAACAACAGCTGTCAAGTGAATTCTGACTCATGGCTCCCCCATGTGTGTCAGAATAAAACTGCACTCCATAGGGTTTTCAATGGCTGGTTTTCTGGGCAATAGGTTGCCAGGCCTTTCTTCCAAGGTGGACTTGAACCTCCAAATTTTGGGTAAGCATCAGAACACATTAACCATTTGCATACCCAGGGACTGCAACTCTGTAGCAAGGAAGATAGATTTTAAACAAGCCATTCCCGTAAAGTTTGAGTGTTATAGGAGGAGACATACAGGGGGCAGAAGAGAGCTACATGCAGGTTCTTTTTTCTTTTTTTTTCAATAATTTATTTTATTTTATTGTTGTTATTTTGAGACTATACACAGCAATTCAAGTTTCTGCCTGTACGGTTCAGTGACATTGATTACATTTTTCAAGTTGTACAACCATTCTCACCCTCCTTTTCTGAGTTGTTCCTCCCCTGTTAACACAACTCACTGCCCCGTAAGTGTCCTCTCTAATCTTCCAAGTTGTTGCTGTCACTTCGATCTCGGATAGATCTTAAAAAATCATAATGCTCAAAGCAGACATTTTTGCTAGTTACACTACGTTATTGTTCAGTTTTAAGAATACTTTGGGGGATATCTTTGGTTTAAGGTTTAAGGATTATCTCAAGGCAATAATTTCAGGGGTTCATTCAGCCTCCATGGCTCCAGAAAATCCAATTCCGTGAGAATTTGAAATTTTTCTCTGCATTTCTCCTCTTTTGTTCAGCATTCTTCCATAGACTCTTTGATCAAATACACACAGGTTCTTACAGGGAATCTGATCTTGGATTTTTTTTTTTTTTTTTTCGTAGTCCATAGTCTACTTACAAGGACAGGAATTTCTTCTGCAAAATCCCAGTGTTCAGATGGCTGAATCTGAGACCAGCAACATGGATGATGTGAGCATCTTGTCCAGGGAGCCCCACTCCTGGGAGAGTGAGATACATCCAGAACACACATGGAAGGTCAGCCAAGAGCACCAGAATTTTCCAGGGATTCATGAAACATCAAGGAGACATCAGGTCAGTATGTAATGACATCACTGGGGAGAGGTGGGAAAAGGTACAAGGGACACTGGTAGGCAAAGCTGTTAGAATATTGAGAGATTTAGCATAGGATGAGATTAGACCCATTTACCCCAGGGATTCCTACGGATGCACTATGTTCCTAGACATTTCTGAGCCACTGGGGAGAATGAAAACCCATTAGCCTTCCTCCTTACCCCCACCACCATCAATATTTTGAACATACAGGTGTTGTTGGGTGCTGTGGAGTCAATTCTGACTCACAGTGACCCTATAGGACAGAGCAGAACTGCCCTCATACGGTTTTCTAGGCTGTAATCTTTACAGGGGTAGATCTCCAGGTCTTTTTCTCCAGCAAAGTAGCTTGTGGGTTTGAACTGCCAACATTTTGGTCCCAGCCAAGCACTTAACCACTGTGCCACCAGGCTCCTTATTCAATATATAGAAGAGTGATAACTGTAAGGTAGGGACTTAGAGATGTAAGGGGTATCGATTAACGACAGACTTGGAAATTAGGTATTAATACATACCGGGAATGATGAAGTGGCCCATAGGATGTCTGCATGTGTCCCCAAAACTGCTGTTAGGAAACTTGTGGTGTCACATCAAGGAGATGGGTATTTGGGAGAGAGATTTTCATGCTCCAGTCTAGACACATCGTTCACCACATTGGGTTGTCCATTTTCAGGGGCAGAAACTTCTGCCAGAGACCATTCCTGCAAATGGTGAGCTGGAGAGTCTGAGACCCAAGCAGAACTTGGAGGAGAACCTGATGGAAGACAGGGCAGGGTCAACAGTATGTGACATCCAGGAGCCTCAGCTTCTGAAGGGTCCTGGTGAGTATGGAGACTGGCGACCAAGGACAGTTAGTGACTTCTTTTCTCTACTGGGTGCAGGACTGGGTCTTGTTGAATTTGTAATTTTTTCTCCAGACTTGCTACAGTTAGAGAGGCTTGACTGATTCCACCTCCCACCCCACACCTTTAAATTTTTTATCTCCTGTGACCTCATTGGTATGCTGTTGTTGTTGTTGGATGCCATGGAGTTGATTCTAACTCATAGCAACCCCGTGTGACAATAGAACTGCCCCATAGGGTTTTCTAGGCTATAATCTTTATGGGAGCAGATCACCAGGTCTTTTCTTCTGTGGAGTGACTGGTGGGTTCAGTCTGCTGACCCTTCAGTTAGTAGTCAAGTGCTTAACAATTGCACCACCAGGGCATTTACATTGGTTTGCACAATCTTTTTTTTTTTTTTTTTCTTTCACTCATGTTTTGATCTACTTGCTAGACCTTTCAACTAGACATTAGACAGAACCTGTTGAAAATCGTTGCCGGTTACCGTCGAGTCATTCCAACTCATGACCACCCCACATAAGTAGAACTGCTCCATAGGATTTTCAAAGCTGTGACCTTTCAGAAGCAGTCACCAGGTCTGTCTTCCGCAGAGACGCTTGGTGGGTTTGAACCATCAACCTTTCGGTTAGCAGCAGTAATAGTATTTGCTGTCAAGTTGATTTCAACTCATGGCAACCCCTTGTGTACAGAGTAAAACTGCTCCGTAGGATTTTCCAGGCTGTGACCTTTTGGAAGCCGATCACCAGGCCTGTCTTCCAAGGTGCCTCTAGGAGGGTTTGAACCTTTAACTTTTAGGTTAGCAGTAGTAGTAGTTAGTTGCGGTCAAGTCAATTCTGACTCATGGCAACACCACACGAGCACAGTAGAACTGCTCCATAGGGTTTTCAAGGCTGTGAACTTTTGGAAGCAAATTGCCAAGTCTTTCTTCCAAGGCACCTCTGGGTAGGTTTGAACCTTCAGCAGTCAGAGCGTTTAACTACTTGCACCACCCCGGGGCTACCCATGTTTAAGAGATAAATGTTTTCTGTAAGTCCTGCTCTTGCATGACCTGGTGGTATGTCAAAATAAATGAAAAATGTTCGTTTTGTTCCTCTCTCTCTCTGCCTTTTATTGCTTATAAAAACTCCCAGCTTTTCTCTGTCCAAAAAAAAAAGCCTCACTGAGGCTCTTCTGCCAATCCATGTGTCTTTTCTAAAACCAAATAAGCTCTATAAAATTAACTCTGTCAGAATTTTTCTTTTCATGGTATCCAGCATCACCGTATAGTAGGAGAACTTGGCTCTCAAATGCCAAGTCTTCTCCATCACTGTCTTCCCAGAGTATCGTACAATCTCTTAGGCTTGTGAGGCTGATGGGAGAATCTCAAGCAACATCAATGTTTGGCCAAGTGAGTTTGGTATCATTGAAAATGCTCTTCATTAAGTGTTGTGTGTTGAATCTTTTATTCCAGCAGATTCCATGGGGGCTAATGATGGAAAGAATCCTGAAGAAGACACTTCTATTAAAAATGTGGATGCTGACACACCACCCACCCTTGTTTTGGAGAGAGAAGTTTCTACTCCCGGTGGGAACAGGGAAGATTCTCAGAAGAATCTGAGACGTTCCAAAAGAAGAAAACCAGACAGCTTCTCCAATTCCCAAGGAAGGCCTCAAGAAGGAGCTACCCATTTGGACAAAAGAGAATTCCTGGCACAAATTGGGTTACACTCAGTTGATTCACCAAGGACCATGGGATCAGCTAACCATGATTTACCAAATACCGTGGGACCAGATGACCATGATTCACCAAGTACCATGGAACCAGTTGACCATACAGTTGGTCAAGATCAAGAGTCCACAAGACGTTCAATCTATCAATGTGGATTTTGCAAGAAAAGATTTCATTATAAATCTCAGTTCGACATCCACCAGAGGACACACACAGGAGAGAGGCCGTTTAAGTGCAGCTCCTGCGGGAAAGGCTTCATGCAGCCCTCAGATGTCCGCGTCCACCAGCGAATCCACACAGGGGAGAAGCCATTCAGATGTGAGCTCTGCCACAGAGAGTTCACCCATGAGTCCACCCTGCATGGCCACAAAAGGACCCACACCAACGAGAAACCATTCCACTGCACAGAGTGTGGGAAACGCTTCAGCCACAAAGGGAACCTCAACGTTCACCATCGAATCCACTCTGGAACAAAACCTTACACCTGTCCAGAGTGTGGGCACACCTTCCGTCAGCTGGGAACTTTCAAACGCCACAAAAAAACACATCTGAAAATGGCATCCCAATGATTCTGTATTAGAGCCCTGGTGGCTCAAGAGTTAAGTGCTTGGCTGTTAATCAAACAGTTGGCGTTTCATACCCACCCATTGACTCTGAGGAAGAAAGACCTGACAATCAGCTTCCATAAAGATTACAGCCTGGAAAACCCTGAGGCAATTCTACTCTGTCACATGGGGTTACTACGACTTGGAATTGACTTGACAGCACCCAACAACAGCAATGATTCTGTAATCACACCCAAGTCTTCTGCCCCAAGAAGGAAGTTAGTGACCATTTGTCACCTACATTCTAAAGGAGAAATGACATTTAAAGCACTTACAAGGGTTCCTGGCACACACATTCACAAATATTTGTTACCCAGATCTTTGAATAATAATTTATCCCCCCATTGGCTTTTGTTGTCTGTTTCATTGTTTTCTAATATTTGCTTCCTTCTAGGTTTTTGGGTTTATACTGCTGTTCTTCCAAAGAATTTTAGCTTCATTAATTTTCAATGTTTCATTATGAAACGAAGGCTGCTAATTGTTATCCTATTATCTGTTCATTTTATTTTAAAATAGGATGATCCAAGAGGATGGCTAGATTAAAATACAGGGTACCAAAAAACCAAACCCATTGCCGTAGAATCAATTCTGACTCATAGCAACCCTATAGGAGAGAGTAGAACTGCCCCGTAGGGTTTTCAAGGAGCAGCTAATGCATTCCAATTGCTGATCTTTTGGTTAGCGGCGGAGCTCTTTGACCACTGTGCCACCAGGGCTCCTAATGAAGTTTGAAATTCAAGTAAACAACGGATCATTGTTCAGTATAAGTATGGCCCAAATAAGGAACCCTGGTGGCGAAATGGTTCAGAGCTCAACTACTAACCGAAGTGTCATCGGTTTGAACCCATCTAGCAGCTCCATGTGAGAAAGACCTGAAGATCTGCTCCCATGAAGATTACAGCCTAGAAAACCCTATGGAACAGTTCTACTCTGTCACATGGGGTAGCTATGAGTTGGCATCAACTAGAATGCACACAACAACATGACCCCAACTCATTATTTATCTAAAATCCAAATTCCAGTGCTAAATCTTGTTAGCTGCTGTTGAGTCACTCATGGCGTTTCCAAGGGTTTCCAAGGCTGTAAATCTTTATGCTCATGGTGACTCAATGCACAACAGAACGAAATGCTGCCCAGTCCTTCATCATCCCCACAATCCGCTGTGGATTGGACCCTTGTGATCCATAGGGTTTTTATTACTGGTTTTCAGAAATAGATTTCCAGGCCTTTCTGCCTAGTCCATCGTAGTCTGGAAACTCCACTGAAACCAGCCTCCGCTGACAGATGAGTGGTGGCTGTGCTTGAGGTGCATTGGCCAGGAATCAAAGCTGGGTCTTCTGCATGGAAGGCGAGAATTCTACCATCGAAACACCACTGCCCTCCTTAATTTAGCTGCATCAACATCCCCTGGATGCCCCACACACTCGGAGTTTCTATTTCAGTAGGTACTGATGGGATCTGAGAATCTGCATTTTTAGTAAACTCTTTTTAGATAACGTATTCTTTTCCTTTTGCATTTGTAATAAACTCTAAACTCGAGAATAGTTTTCAGATTTATTGAAAAATATGAAGAGAGTACACAGGGTTCCCATACTTTCCACACCTTGTTTTCCCTATTATTGACACCTTATATTAGTATGCAGCCCTGGTGGCTCAGCGGTTAAAAGCTCAGCTGCTAACCAAAAGGTCAGCAGTTTGAATCCACCAGCTGCTCCTTGGAAACCCCATGCGGCAGTTCTACTCTGCCCTATAGGGTCGTTATGGGTCGGAATCGGCTCAGCGGCAGCGGGTTTGATTTTTTTGGTTTATGTTAGTATGGTAGGAGTCCTGGCAGTGCAAATGGTTAAGCACTTGGCTGCTAACTCAAAGGTTGGCAGTTTGAACCCACTAGTGGATCTGAGAGAGAAAAGACCTGGCGATCTGCTCCCATAAAAATTATAGCCTAGAGAACAATAGAGGGCAGTTCTACTCTGTCACATGGGGTCACTATAAGTAGGAATCAACTCGAGAGCACCTAACAACAACATTATCTGACCTGTTAATTCTGACTCATAGAGATCCCATGTGACAGAGTAGAACTGCTCCATAGGGTTTTCAAGGCTGTAAATCTTTACGGAAGCAGACTGTCTTTTTCCCACGGAGCAGCTGGTGGGTTTGAACCACCAGCCTTTCAGTTAGCAGCCAACGGCTTAACCACTGCACCACCAAACCAAAAGCAAATCCATTGCTGTCGAGTCCATTCTGACTCATAGCGACATTATAGGACAGGGTAGAACTGCCCTATAAGGTTTCCAAGACTATGAATCAGAATGCTATGCTATGATTCAGAATCTTTCCAGAAGCAGACTGCCACATCTTTCTCCCACGGAGCAGCTGATGGGTTTGAATCGTCCACCTTTCAGTTAGCAGCTGAGCATTTAACCACTGAACCACCAGGGCTCCTTAACAGCAAGATTAGTATGGTACATTTGTCCTAATTGAAATAATATTGATACATTATTGTTAATTGAAAGGAACCCTGGTGGCACAAACATTAAGCACTTGACTGCTAGCCCAAAGGTCATTGAATCAAACCCACCCAGTAGCTCCTCAGGAGAAAGACCTGGTGAGCTGCATAGACTTGACTGCACCTAACAAGAGCGACATTAGTATGGTATATTTGTCTGACATGATGGGCTAATATTGGTACGTTATTGTTAATTAAATCCTGTACTCTATTCAAATTTCCTTAGTGTTACCTCATAGGCGCCTTGGAAGACAGACTGGTGATCTGCTTCCGAAAGGCTAGTCTTTAAAACCCTATAGGTTTGGAATTGACTCAATATCAACTAACAACAATAACAACATATACACACATGTACACACACACACATATATGGAGCCTTGGCTGGTAATGGAAGGTCAGTGGTTCGAACCCACCAGCCGCTCTGTAGAAGAAAGATGTGGCAATCTGCTTCTGTAAAGTTTTACAGCCTTGGAAACGCTATGGGGCAGTTCTATTCTTCTATAGGGTTGCTATGAATCAGAATCGCCTTGAAGGCAACAGGTTTGGTTTTTTTGGTAAGAGACAAGACAACTAAATACAACAGATGATTCTTGGTAGGATTCTGAGTCAAGAGGGAGAAAAAACAGCTACAAAGAATGATATTTACAGGGCCACAACAGATGGATCCTCATAGAACAGGAGAAAAATGCCAAACAGAACTCAGATTCTTAAAAAGTCCAGGTTTAACTGGACTGGTTGAGACTGGAGGACTCCCCCAGACTATCGCCCTGCGACACACTTTAAACCTTAAACTGAAACTACCCCGAGGTCACCTTTTAGCTAAATAACAGATTGGTTAATCAAATAAAGAATATCACCCGTGAGTAATGAGCTCCTTTAAAAAACCACCTGTAGGAGACCAAATGGTCAAAAATTACATGCTACAACTGAAAACGGTACAACCACAACAGAATGAAAATGATGACACGTTGTGAAAATGTAACCAATACTGGCGAAGAATTTGTGTAGACGTTGTTAAATGGGAACCTAATTTGCTGCGTAAACTTTCACTTTAAACACAGTAAAACTTTATTTTAAAAAAAAGAAGTAAATTAAAAAAAACAATATTTAGACAATTGGGGAAAATTGAATATGGACTTTATATTAGGTAATATTATTATATCAATATTAAATTTCTCAAGTGTGATTATGTAGGAGAAGATCCTTGCTCTTAGGAGATGTAGGCTGAGGTACTAGGGGTGAAGGGTCATGGTGTCTGCAATCTACTTTCAAACAGTTTGGAAAAACACTTTAAGTGTGGCAAAAATGTTGAATGCCAACAATTTGTGAGTCTAAATGAAGGGTATAAAGATGGTCTTTGTACTTTTTTTTTACCTTTTCTATGACTTGAAATGTTTCAAAATAAAAATTGGAGAAAAAATGATGAATTGGGCACGAAAACTCAGTTATGTATGTGGACAAAGGGAGCCCTGTTTCCTCAATAGGTGTGAACATTGTTAGAATAACAACAGGTAAATTGTTAATGGCTCTGTTGTGAAAAAGTAGTTACTCAGGGATTGGAGAACTGGAAAGAAAGCAATTTACAACCACGCATTGCAGCTATCCCTTCTCAGACAGAAAGTGAAAAATTAGACCTTACCCAGTGCTGTGGATTAAATTGTATCCCCCAAAAATGTGTATCAATTTGGCTAGGCCATGATTCCCAGTACTGTGTGATTGTCCGCCATCTTGTCATCTGATGTGATTTTCCTATGTGTTGTAAATCCTACATCTATGATGTTAATGAGGCAGGATTAGAAGCAGTTATGTTAATGAGGGAGGACTCAATCTACAAAATTACGTTGTGTCTTAAGTCAATCTCTTTTGAGATATAAAGGAGCAAACAAAGAGATAGGGGGACCTCATACCACCGAGAAAGCAGCGCAGGGAGCAGAGCGCATCCTTTGGACTTGAGGTTCCTGCCCACAGAAGCTCCTAGACCAAGGAAAAATTGATGACAAGGACCTTCCTCCAAAGCCGACAGAGAGAGAAAGCCTTCCCCTGGAGCTGGCGCCCTAAATTCGGACTTCTAGCCTCCTAAACTGTGAGAGAATAAACCTCTGTTTGTTAAAGGCATCCACTTGTGGTATTTCTGTTATAGCATCACTAGACGATAAAACACCCAGGTTCGATTTCTGCTAAACTACTTGGCAGAACTTTGTGCCTGTTGTTGTCTGCATTCCCTCGGATTCTTGAAACATGTCCACCCATACAGTTCACCAAAGCTGGCACATACATGCTATATGCGTCTTTAAGATATGTAAAAGACCAAGGCATAGAGTAGCGAGTATAGTTGGGTACCATTTGTGTACACAGATACCCTTGTGTCTGCAAAAAATATTTCTGGAAGGAATTAAAAGAAACGAGTAATTTTTTCTCCAGGGAGTGAAATCAAGTGACTTAAATCTTGGGTGGGAGG